AACCATGGAAAGAAGGAATATGGATAACAGTTTAGGGGCTAGGACGTTTCCCGTAAGCGATTCGGAGTTACGGTCCCGCCTGACTTCTGCGAAAAGTGAGCTAGAGCTATCCTTAAGGACGGAAGAAGTAATGGTAAAGAGCTCGCCGATTTCTTGTAGAGGAGGATTGGTGTATCTTTGTATGCAAGAAACTCGTTGGGAAGGTAATAAATCGAGATATGTTGGAGATGGACGCAAGTTAATATACAATAGTGCGGACAGTCATGGCAGAAATAGGGTGGGTATTATTTTGAATAACGAGTGAAACGAACAACTGGTAAGAACCAGAAGAAGTGATAGAATAATGAATGCTGCTTTAATTATGATTTTTTATGAGCCTATATAACACTATTTTTGTAAAAGTTTAACAATTCTATACTTATCAAACATTAAAAACGGAACTATAATATGATTTTTCGGATTTTTGCTGAAAAATATTCAACAATATCATTTTGGCCTATAAAAATATTCTCTTAGGTTCTTTTTAGTAATAAAAACTTCCTTAAGTTGCAAAACTGTGAAATATCACATATCTTTGCTGAAGGTTTTGTATTTTACTGGAAAATATCTACATTAATGTATTGAAAGAACTATATTTTGACTTAAAATTAGCAAATCGGCTTGATAAGTGTAGTTTTGATAAGTAGGCTTGATAAGCAGTCCAATAAAAATCAATATAAAAAAATAATATCGCATTCGAGTTCTATGTTTTCAAGAAAATCTAATTAGTAAATTAGTCCTTACAATAAGTATAATGTTATTTTTAGTGGGTATTGCACAATTTATACTTTTTTTACACAACTTTTACTAAATATATTTAACACATTTTAGAAGTTCCAAAGAAGACATAAAAAAAACATTTACACGATAATAACACACAATATTTTTGCCTGTAATGACAGTGAGTCATTGATTAACTTAACAGCACCAGCACATATTTACAGATCCGAACTCGCCCAAAAATGTATGAGTTTGAAAGTAGACTATGTTATATTTTATAAAATAACTGTTAAAATTAAATACGTATCGGTCAAAACTATTTTCTGTTGTCAGCAAAACCAAACAGAAACACAATTTCAGCATTTTCGATTGTAGTTTCTTAAAAATATGAGTTGTAAGGTTCGCATACACCAAAACAGTTGCCAACTTCTGTACAGGCAACTGTTTACAACCCTTTTAATTCACCAACTTGTGTTTCCATTTCGACTACACCAGATTAAAATTTAAAAGACATATCTAGCTTCTTAAAAAAAACACATTCGTACTACTTCGAAGTATGAGTGACAAGAAAAATTTGCAGACGCAGCTTTGCGTGTATGTTGGACGCCATTAGAAGCCATTTTTAGACTCTGAAATAGTTAAAGAATGTATGCTAGTAGTGACCGCAGCACCTTTTGAAGATAAAAAGGATGTTGTTTCCGCAATTCAAGGTATTCCATTGTCGGCAAAAACAATATAAGAAGAACGGAAATATTGGCTGCAGACAATAAAAGGGGTTAGCTCGAACTTCTGGAAAAGGCCATAGTACTTGATGAACCATGTGATATAGGGAAGAATTGCTTGCAGTCTTGCCGTTTAAGTGCCAGATTTTTGACGAGTACATGACAAAATCAAACAATCGTTACAATAAAATGGTGTCTCTATCACCTGATGAGGCCCGAGCTATGGTCAGTAAAGGGGACTTCTAAAGCGAATCAAAGAAAAGAGTTCTGGGCTACTATCTTATCAATGCATAATTCACCAGGCAGCCCTATGAGGAAAGTTAGTGCACTCTGAAAGAGGTAATGAACAACTTGATCAAGTTGATTCATTTTATGAGGTGTCGTTCTGCTCTTCAGCAGTAAAGGTTTTCTAAGTAAAGGTAAAGTGATTCATGTTTTTGGCAAATAAAACAAGAAGTAATTACCTTATTAGAAAACTAAAAAACAGAAGCAATAAATCATTTGGATTTCCTGGCAAACGAAAGAAGTATGTCCCGACTTTCCTGAAAGACATTTTGCAACACTTAAATGTGCAATACCGAACTACAAGGAAATGAGAAATTAATATGTGACCTGATACAAAGTGTTGTCCTCAGTTCGCCACAAGCTCAATATTTTTTAAGAAGACATTGCAAGTCAAGAACTAATTCACTTTCCAGCAACTCTGGAACACAAGAATAGTTCTAAACGTTTCAATGTTTTCAGTTTTCATGAAGTTGAGATAAAAAAGAAATCACAGGAAGATTTAAAGACCTTGCAGGGGTAGAAAAGTTGTTGGCTTTCTTAAAAGCGCCTTTTGCAGTTCCTCCAGAAAGACATTTTGTTGCAAATGCATAAAACTGCATCCACCCAAGAATTTTGGAATAAACATAAAATTAAAAACATAAACAGAGAAATATGAAAACTGTAAGAAATTTTGCATTTTTCTTGGTACTATGTTTGGTACCACATTTCTTTGGGAGACTTCGTTTTCAAACATAACTGTTTGAAGAACAAACTTCGATCAATATTGACAGACATCTACCTTGAGGACACCATTCGCATTAGATGCTCCCAGCGTTAACCTAACTTGACTAACTAAAAAACTGACAAAGGTAATTTTTCAAATTGATTTTAAAAATGGACACCTGTTTCTTGTGTTCCATACTGTGTTGTGACTGAAAATTAAAATAGGCTAGCAAACCATACGAGTGCGTTTGGCAGAACTTCGTGATACGCCTCAGTCGAGTAAATCAAATTTAACGCGTTAATTTGGTTCAATCATTGGAGGCGTATAACGAAGTTTCGCTAATTTTTTTCCTGGACCTCCAAAAACCTATTTTAAAATATGTCTGAACCCCATCCAAAATTAGTTGTCGACCTCTAAGCTAATCATTTAGCTCGACCACACAATATACATTCATTCTAAAGATTAGAATCTTAGAGACAGTCCAGGTAGTTTATGCAACTGTGAGATGCTTAGATGTTTAGAAAAAACAGGAAACAAAGTGTAGTTTTTACATAGTGTAGATGTAGAGATGATAAATGTGTCAAAAGTACATATTCTGTATAAAGTACATATTCTGAAACTCGTAAGTATAAAAATGGACAGACAACACACAATTTACGATCAGCCAACATATTAAAATATTTTGTTAGACAATAACGAAGTTCTGATTTTTTCATTCAATTATAATCTCTAGAGAATATTAATATCACAAGTATTGTCTTTTTTATGTTAATAGTTTAACTTCATTATTATCTATGTTGATTATAATAGCCAAATTTGGATTTGATTCTAAGACTATTTAGTTAAAAACAAAAAATAAAATTGTTTTCCTATAAAAACCGTTGAACGTCATTAATGGTGTTTCTGTGTCGTCACATTACAACCAACTGCTTAGAATTTTCGCAAGTTAATATTCACAACCGCCATAGTAAAGTACTACAATTGTAGCGAGTGACTCATGTTTTAATGGTTTTTATAGGCCAGTAATTGGATCTTTAACCTTTAGGAAAAAATGTTTTTGTTGTAGGAATACCGACAAAAGGAGAAAATTTAACTATTTAATAAAAAAATATGATTCAACTTTAATTACTCTGTTGTATTTTATATCTTTCTCTAACGGTAGATAATGTCTGAGATCAACAATGTCTTCGCAAATTAAGGCGATGTAACTGGCAACAACGCCATTAGCCTGGTAGCTCTTTTATTGTCTGTCATCTGAAGTCGGTTTCATAAGCGCACTGACAGGGGTTTCATAAAGCAGAGAACCAAATTGATTGTAGTATTATTAGTGAAATGCGCTTTTACGCTTAGTTTTTGTAAATTATGAGTAATTTAGTTTAATTCAATTAGGTGAAAAGTAATAAATATGACTGAAAGTAGTAATGGTGAACCGTACATCAAAATGAAACGTCACCCGAAGAAAATACTATGATCGGAAATGTGTTTGAAGGACTTCGAGCCAGAGAAAAAAATATGAGTGTAAGCGATATAGTTACATTATTAGTATTTTGAAAAAAGATTCCGAACAGTGTGTAAACGGATGATAAAACAAACGATAATAATACTTTGAAGGTTAAGGCAAGGGAGGAAACAAATAAAATTGGATGGTACAACCAAACAGGCCATTCGTCTTGCAGTGCATGAATTTTTTTTTTTAAAAGGAATTCCGGCAATAAAAAAAATGTGCTTCTTCTCTTCAATCTAATGAAAATATTCCAAAAATAACAGGACGTGTTTTGTTACGTCCTTACGTGAAATCAACTTTAGGAATTTAAAGAGAAAGAGGAATAGTACCCTTATTGAAAAAGAAGAAATTATTTTATGGCGCAGAAAGCATCTGAAACAAATAGCAAAATTTCGAAATGATGGGAAAAATATATTATTCAGATAAAACATGGTTAAATTAAGGGCATACTGTGACAAAAATTTAGCAGAATTTAAATGTGAAAAATACACGACAAGCTTTCCTAGATGGTTAGCCATATTGGTGACTCAGAATGTGTTGAAGGAGGTTTAAATGCATTTGTAGTTAACCTAACCTTTTCACGACTTTATAATTTGCTACATCCTGTTATTACGAAAAACGGCAACACTGTGCTAAAATGACAAGGCCACATTGAACAACGCATGAATTTCGTACAACGGGTTTATTGGAAAAACAATACTCAAAATTTATTACTCCCTAGCTATAGGATAAATTAAAATTCAGCGTCATCGCTGGACGTTTACACTCTTTTGTGTCTTTTAATATGCACTTATGTTTAAAAAATACTCTTTCTTTAAAATTACCACTTTATTTAAAATAAATTTTTAATAAAAAAATCTTTGGTAACAAATATTGCATTTTAACTCGTGAAATAATTTTTAAAGCCAAAATATATTTAAACATATATATTAATAATAAAGAGAATTAACTAAAGATCACAGAAAATCGATATAGAATACACTAAGAATATAAAATAGAGTATATTTGTATAAAATTATTGTTTTTGCAGAAAATAAAAACTTTTGTTAAATAAAGAATGTCTAATAACAACATTAATGACATTTGTTTTTAATATAATGATCTCCACGTGAGATGATGATAAAATTAAAACATACATAGACTATTTAAATTTATAATTTGATCTAATATCAACGACTCTAAAATATTTTACAATTCTAATACTGTTTATCCATCTAAATGTATTTTCTTTGCAAAACTGCTTTACTTTATATACTTTTATATCATATCTCAGTATTTCGTTAGTCTTCTAATTTACTCAAAATCTAATTTTTTCTCGAGACAAGGCAATAAAAACATACCTAAGCAATACTGAGATCTCGCCAGGTGATTAGCGCACATGGTGATAATTTATTCGCACAATCTACTTTGCCGTGCATTAGTAGACCTACATAAAGAAGTACAGTGCTGCCGTGCTCATTCGTGGAGTTGTTCTAGCTGACTAACTGTCGACCTATCTCGATTTGCAGTGCCACCTTCAGGTCAAAAGGTAACTGCTACTTACCATACATCAGTTTGTTATCAAATACTAAACCAAGAAAAAACAATACAATTTATACTAGCTTGATCTATTGTCTTGGCCTGGCAGGAAGCGGCGGGGGAGGAGCTGATCGTGCCGGTACCGGAGGTGGTCCTCGTGAAGGAGTAGGAGGTACCGCACCCGATTCCGGTCTTGGTGGTGGTGGTGGAGGACCTAATGGTTCTGGAGTACTTATCACATCGTCGCTGATCTCTTCGTAAACGCCCTCTTCTTGAGACATCTGACTTGGTAAATCTGGTGGTGGCATTTGCGGCGGAGCTGAACAAAGCGATGGAGGTGGAGCTGGAACATCTGAGAAAGAATTTAATTTATGCATTTAAATGTCTCAATTAAAATCGCCTAAAATAGTTAAATATTCTAAATAAAAATTTGACTAACTTGACATAGGAGGATTTGGCAATGGTGGAGCAGAAGACGCAGAATTATTTGTATTATTAGTCGGAGAAATCATAGCCGGAGGTTTAACCGGCATATGGATGACTCCCGCTTTTGGAGGTGCTCGTCTTGGCGATGATGGTGTTGATTTTACTACTGGTGGAGGAGGTCTACTTGGTGGAACTGTGCGAGGTACTTTATTCACTTCTGGAATGCCTAAACCTACAAAATATTTATTTTTAACACTATTCGTACCTTAAATTTCTGGTATTGCATAAAAATAAAGGTAATCGAAAGTCAAAAGAGAAAGATAAAAAAACAGAAATTGTATTATATTGGCCAGGTTTAATTATAGAGAAGTAGCAATTAACCAATTAATACAACCATAAATGTGTAACGTAAAAATTTATGAAAATGTAGTGAATGAGAAATATTAACACCTCGTTTCGCGAATTCGAAATTAAGTGTTGAGATAGTATAGAATTAAAAAAGTTTGCTGAAAATAAAACAGGAATTAGAAAATACAAGGCAACAACTAAATGAGGTGGAAAATAGATTGGAAAGGCGGGAAAATGAATCGAAAAGAAACAATATTGTAGTAACTGGATTAAAGATTGATACAGATGAAAATAAAATAAAAGAAATTATGACAAATTTTATAAGAATACACCTAATCGAGGAAGTAAATAAAGCAGTTTTACGTCTTTCTTGTGGTTTTATAACAAATTCATTAGTTATATCAATGACCATAATGTTTCAAATTTAGAAAATAACAAAAGTGATATATTTTTATCAATGTTAATAATGTTGCAAAATGGCAACAGAGATTTAAGGAATGAACAGATTGCTGCTATTTAATCGGTGCGTGGACGACACGATGCAACAGCGTTTTATCATGTCATGAACATATTACTGCTATTAGTCACTTGAATTGAACCGACGACCACAGCATAGTCTGGAATGGATTCTTTAGAATCGGAGGAATGTTCATTCCTATATACTGAACCAAAACGCAAAAAAAACCAAAAAGAAAATATATTATAAAAAAATTGCTTATATTTCTAGCTGAATAATTTGCAAACTGGAGATATTTGTTACACAAAAACAATAACAGAATGTACACAAAACCACGAGTTATATTTAATACATTATAGACAAGCCAAATTGCTGGATTACGGAATATTAGAATAATAAATATTCGACGACATATATAAGCTTTTATAATCTAACGATAAAACACCGCTTTGTTACAAATATTCAACATAATGTAATGAAGAGTTAAAATAAAAAAAACTGAATAATAAAAGCTTATTATAACAGAAACGATTGTTATATGACTTACAGTTATAATCAGATTGGCTTGGTGAAGTGTATAATGGAATGGTATTACTTGTACACAGATCTATTTCTTCTTTTGCCAGATCAACCCAGTTTGGTGTTTTCAATGAAAGAGTAAAGTCAATGCCATTTACCTGAAAATACAAAGATTAATAAGGTTATTATTTCAGATAACAAATATATGTACTAACATTTAGTTCACCCTTTGTTTTCTTTAAGGCTTCTAAAACAACTTGCCCATCTCTGAATGTGATCCACATAGTATCTGACACGAATCTAACCAAAATAATTTCTCCTAACTGCGAAAACTCCTCTAATAGAACTGTCATCATAGTTGAATCAAACCCAATAAAGCCGCCGTTTTGAGAAGAATCCTCGAAATTTACAATTATTGTAGAATCCGGAGGGCCCATATCAGCAATGACCTCATAAAATACCTAAAAACATATCATAATAAAAATAAATTTTATGGAGAATAAAGTTTTTAATTACCTTCTGTCGCATTTGCTCGTTAATATTCCTAACCTCAATATCAACTATCGCAATTACAGGTCTATGATCGCTCTGTTTAAGTTCAGCTCTACCGTAATAAACTAATGAACCAGGTGACTCCTGCGCTGCTCCATTCATATCAGGGTTAAGAGCTCTCCTCTTCCAGAGAACTCTATCAGTCCAGGCAGGAGCCCTACATTTCTCGCTTGTATCGTAATCATCGCTAAACAGGTCATACTTGTATGTTGGAGCAAAATTAATATCTCCTTCAATAAAGTTCTTAAATACGTTGCCATCTGCCTGCTGCTTCTTCAGCTGGTCATTATCTAGTACTGTGTCGAAATCTCCTTGTCTAACCAGCTCTTTGAGTTCCTCTTTATCCATGTCTACTCGGTAGTTAAAATCGCCGCACCAAAACAAATATTCGTGGCTGTTTAAAGATCTATTCATCGGGAACGTTATTTTCCTAGTTATTTCGTTATAATCTGCATTTCTTTCATTTACTTGAGATTGACCTGCTGCAAAATGAGCACATACAAATGCCATGGATGTGGCATAGAAAACCATTCTTATTGCTGCGGCACCTAAAAGTAAACTAAATATTATAGGGTGTAAAAATCTTTTATGGAATATAACATTTGTGGTGTTCTCGGGAAAACAGTATTAATATACAGGGTGATTCACATACAGGGTAATCCTAATTTTGATGATATATTAATCTGTCCATTCAGTCTTTTTAATAAAGGATTTTTTGTTTCTTTAGAAATAAACAAATTGACCATTTTTAAAGATATCCACTGATCTAAAATTATTGTCCTCATAGTGGGCTCTGAAGGTAAACAAAAGGCTTTAGTAAACAAAATTGTTATTAAAAATGGTTTTCACGGATGAACAAAAGCGATCTAAGCTCGAAATATATTTTAGAAATGGCTAAAAAATTAACGGAAAATGGGTTTATTCCAACCGAGATGCATTTGAAGATCTTGTTGAAGAATTTCCAATTTTGCGGTTCATTATGGCGTCTTTTGCAGAACTTGTAGATGTTTATAGAGAAACGGAAAGCGTAACTCACAAGCCAGGGCAGGCAGGCCTAAAGTGATAACTGAAGAAATATCGAACTGGTCAGAACAGTTATTGTAGATAAACCGCACACATCCACTTTGACATTTACCTCAACAGGTAGATCTTTCATATGGAACTTGCCAGCCTATTCTTAAGCAAGATTTACATTTTCATCCGTATAATTTACAAGCCTTCCATGAAATCACCCTACACGACTATCCCCAAAGGCTAGCCTTCTGTAATTGGTTTCTGAACAATCTCAATAATAACGATGATATATTAAGGCTGTTTTATCGATGCACCAAAATTTTTTCTCTGTTATTTACCGACAAAATGTCTCGAAATTTGGACATGTTATTCAAAACTATGTTGCCTTTAAAATGATGGTTTTACTTTTTTATTTTTTTGAATTTTCTGTTCAAAAATTGGATTATACTGTTTAACGTTCTATTATAACCAAACTTTTCACGCCCATCAGTTGAAAGAGTTTTTTTTCTGTAATCGTTGATTCTTTTTTCACCTTTCTGTATCCAGTAATAATCGAGAAAAGCGTATTCAAACTTTGAAGAAAATTGCTAAAAAATACTGAATTCTAATAGTGAAACGTGTTCCTCATCATTGTCGCTTAGCTTGATCGATATCGCATTAGTGACGTCAAATCTCATGAACGTACGGTAGGGTCAGTTAGTTCGCTTGAATCAGAATCCATTTTAGTTCTTTCATTCTTGTATTTTCTTTATCAACTTGCTTAGTTTTTACAGTTTACAGTATTCTTATTTATTTTGAAAACATTGAAATTATTTAGTTTACGGGTATGTTTAAGTAATATATTATTAGTTTAGTGGTATAAGTTAAAAGTTCTTTAGTTTACGCGTATTTTTAAGTATTACATTAGGTTAGTGATATAAGTTATAAGAGACAAGATAAAAAATTAGTCCCAGTAAACGTCCTAGGTCAAGGAAAAGGAGAGCAATTGCACTACAGTAAGTATTTATTATTATATATTTACAACCGTTTTTAAATATATATATAGCGTTGATTACGTTCTTCACAAACACCCGTTGTTTGTTTTATTTTAAAAATATTATAATAGTTTATCTTTAGTAAGTTCGTATCTTTTTCCTAGAATAATTTTGTTTCTTTTTCATATTTTTAGGAAATTAAAAATCAAAAAAGCTACTATAAACAAAAGTTCTTCATCAAATAGTTCATTCCATCAAGAATTAGCAGAAACCTCTACTTTACCTAGTTGTAGTGTCGATTCGTAAGTAACCCTTTTTACTTTTTTTTTATTTACTTACCGTAAAGTAAGTAAATAGAGGGTTCATGACCTTACATATTATTTGTTTATGGTCAAAATATTACCAATGTTTTACTCTTAAATAATAATAATAACAAATAATATCATTTGCAGAAAATACTTTAAATTTTATCGTTATTTCTAGTAATAGCTGTCATTCTCAGTCAGTTGAGATTGCCTCTCCGCAAAAACCATCTTTTTCGGTAGAAGGCAGAAGAATAGTGGACATAAACTTTTTCATTAAATCTATTCAAGGTTTGAATAATCGTTCTCCATTTTCATGCAACTTTTCTAATATGGAGATTATCAAAGAAAAAATGGACGGATTGATACGTACATTGATTTTTAAATGTCAAATGTGGAATATTGAAAAGGAGATAGCAACATAGGATTCTGGTAACAATTCACTGAACTTGAATGGTTCTGGTTATTCAGACATACAGCAGCAGCACGTTGCATTAAATATACCTGTGATGTCCTACAGGCAGTATGCAAAACATACGGAGACAGTTGCAGATATCATCGGCCAAAACACTTTGTGATTGGAGGTGGTGGTAAAGCATGGAGAAAGTTGTCAGAGGCAGGGGCGAATGGAAGATTGTTCTGAAGAAGCCTTTGGCTCATGACCAGCTGTAATGCCACTAATGATGATGAAATAACTATCCACGATTTGTGTTTTATTCATCAATTGAATACTTTTCTTATGTAACTGCAACCTATAAATATATTAAAATAATGTATATTCCATTCAGAGAACTTTTTCCTCGCAGTGCGTCGCCTCGAAATACTTGCCAGATATAATTACTATTATGATGGTTTCGCAGGTACCAATTTTTTATAGATAAATAAAAATATTTTTTGTTTAATTTTTACTACGCTAATATCAGTTTTCTCTAACAAATAAATAACTTCTTGAAATAATTTTCAAGCTATAACTGCGAAATTGTTTATTTGTTTGTGACAACAAATTGTAATTTTTTTGATAATAATATTCTTATGTTATTTTCAATTTATTATAAATAAACACCATGGTGTTTTTTGCAGTCACGTTTCACAAATTTTTATTTAATACTATGTTTAGCTAAGACATATAAATTAAAAATGTGATTAATTCTTTTTAAAACATTATCTACGATAATCAATCTAAAAAAAGTATTCCGACAAAACTAATTTGAATGGAGAATAATGCATTTATTGTCATTAAACAACCCGTGGGCCGGCGCCACTGAATAAACATCGAAACTGCAGATTTCAAATTAGGAAGTCACGTAGGGTCTGACATAAGCAGTGTAGAAATACGCCTACTTCAAATCGCTGTATGCTATAACTGCGAAAACAGCCTTAAGCACGACCTTTTTTACTGACGTATGTTGGTTTCATTTTTCTGGGTACACAAATTCTCAGAATATGAAGATCTGGAGAGCCTTTATATCCACAGAAATTTGTGAGTTTGGGCTGTTATAAGCATGGATTTCGAAGGGATTCTAAATGCTGATGTAACGGATTTGGAAGATCTTAGACAAACGATAGATAATCATATTGAAGAATTACATAATACTCTGTCGGTCCTAAACATTGTTATTCTAGACTCAATGAGTAGAAACGTTACGTTATGTAGAGATGTTGATGGTAGACATATACAGCATCTTATTTGATTTTATTTATTATTGTTACTTATAATTTTGTTATTTTTTCTGATTTTTGATTAACACTTTGACTGCCGAGCAAATTGAAGCAGTTTTTCCACCCAGGCCATGGTGTTATTTCTTAATTTTCAGCATGATAATTGTATAGCTAGAATTTAACTGTGTGCATTTTTCAATATGACATTGGGTTTTTTCAGCAATTTCAGGAGTGTATCTCTAACGATACACGTGGCTGTCCGAATTTTTTTTTTGCCACAGGTCGGGTGTATCCCTAGTGATACACCGAAATAATATATACATTTTTTGTTTCAGGTAGAGGTTTTGCGACACAAAGTGGAAAAAGACTAATAACAAATTAAAGTGGACTTTATTACTTAGTAATAGTGTTAACTGTGAGTGCCTGTAAAGACAATGGGTATGAAATATCTCACACAAGAAGAATTGGAACGATATTGGGACAGTGATAACGAAGAGTCTTTGGATTCGAAGGATGACCCTGATTATAATGCCTCAGCAACGGATACCAGCGACAATGATAGTGAAAATTCGACGCCAGGACATAACCTCATTGCTCCAGGAGTTTCTGCAAGCCCTCCGAATTATTAGCCAAAGCCAGGAACATTTGGAACTTTACCACACAGACCACCAACTCAAGGAATATCTGAATCCCCCCAAAACGTATCACCTGTGTCAGCTGGAACTGCAACTTCAGTAGATAGTTTTGAAGATATTATTTGGAGTGACCCGGTCGGAAAACAGTAGCACTTCACTTTCAGTGCTCAATCTGGTATGGATCCAACAATATCAGGAATATTGGCATTAGCTGAACCAATCGATTACTTTTCGTTATTTTTTAACCACGAAATAATAAATATCATGGTAAATCAAACTAACTTGTTTGCCACACAGTATCTTGAACGTGCAAATGATGTCCCAAGTTCTTCAAGTATGCATGAATGGACGCCAACTAAAGCAAACGAAATGAAACAGTTTGTGGGTTTGCTTGGAAGGATGGGCGTGGTGAAAGTCCCTGAACTTCCCGATTATTGGTCTCAAAATCCATTGTTTTCATTTCCATTATCAAAAAACACTATGCCACGCAATCGTTTTGAGATTTTACTGAGATTTTGGCATTTTGCTAATAACGACGAATCAACACCAGGAGATCGTACGCACAAAATAAATGACATTTTTAATGAGTTTATAAAAAATTTCAAAAATGCTTACATGACAGGTGAAGCTATATGCATAGATGAGACGATGATACCCTTTAGAGGACGGCTAAGCTTCCGTCAATATATTCCGTCGAAAAGACACCGATATGGAATAAAATTGTACAAATTATGCACTGAAATGGCTACACTTGGAACGCCAACATTTACGTGGATAAAAGATCAAACGACTGATAAGACGAGGTTAGCTTCATACAATGTCGTTATGAATCTTATTCAGGATCTTCTCAATGAGGGAAGAACATTGTATGTGGATAATTTTTATACCAGTGTGCCTTTAGCTTATAAATTATTGCAGTTACAAACACACTTATGTCAAACTACGCAAAGGTGAAATAATAGCG